CTTAACACAGTTGGCAAATATTTCACTCATAAATCTGTCATTTACCAACAAATTGGCCCAATAAACATTGACTCAGTGAAAAACCCTGATAATGAAAGCTTTCTTCATGAGGAATAATGGACAGATTGTCTTTTTTAATCTGTTCCTTTTATCTACATGATTGCAAGTGTCAATAAATCTACTTGCACAAAGACTGAATAATACCATAGGATACTATACGCTTCCCTGGTTGTTTTAAACAGAGTTCTTTGTGACTAGGGAACTGCGTTTGATATATGCAAAATAATATCCAATCCATGCATGTGTTTGTTACTGAAAGTCATAAAAAAGTTGAGATGGCAATTATGACTATGTGACAAAGTCTTTTGCTCCTTTTAATGTATGTCCTAGGGACAACATACTTAAAAGGGGGCTTGAGGGCCATGCACAGGGTCAGGGCTATCATCTTGATTCTTTTAACTGCCCTCTCTCATACATATTCCTTTCACAGCTTTGCAGAATTAGATTTATCAATCTGAACCGGTGGTGGTATGCTACCGGTTCACCCCGGTTCAGCTGAACTGGTAGTAAAAGAAGCCTCGATGATCAGCTGAAAGGAGGAAAAAAATCAGCTGGGAGGAGAAAGAAGAGAAAAGCGTAGGATCGTCCCTGCCCACCCGCCCCTGCGCTTTTCTCTTCTTTATCCTCTCAGCTGATTGGCGCTGCAGGCCTCAGCTGGTGTGGGGAAAGCTGTGTGGGTGCATTAGGTGCACGTGTGCTAGGTGTGTGCGCACGATCACTGAACCGGTAATGGAACAGGTAGGATCCCACTGCTGGTCTGAACACTAATACAGATAGTCCTTGACTTATAACAGTTCATTTAGTGACTGTTCAAAGTTACAGTGGCATTGAAAAAAGTGAATTATGATTGTTTTTTTATACTTATGACCGCTGCAGCATCCCTATGGTAATGCAATCAAAATTCGGACTCTTGGCAACTGGTCCATATTTATGACGATTGCAGTGTCCTAAGGTCATGTGACCACCTTTTGTGACCTTCTTACAGGCAAAGTCAATGGGGAAGCCAGATTTGCTTCACCACTGTGGCAAGAAAGGTTGTAAAATGGAGCAAAATTCACTTACAGGACTTAGCCCCAGAAAATTGGGGCTCACTTGTGGTCGTACGTCGAGGACTACCAGTAATACGAACCAAAGTATTTCATGATTAAGTTTTTGTAGACAGGGAGCAATAACTCCAAAACATTAGTACGCACAATCCTGGAAATGGGAACAGATAGAATTATTGGAAAAGTGACCACAATCAGGCATCTCTTGTTACAGTTTTGGCAAATGTTGTACTTTTTTTATGGTAACGATTTTGAGTGATAATATAAATTATGATCTTTTATAGTCAAATGTCCGAAAGGCAAAGGAATGGAAAAGATCCTAAGTGGTGGGGAGTGAGAGTGGATGGATAGAAAGAAAAAAAAAAGGAATATGTAAACATTAAGCATTGGAATTTAGAGGGAAAAAAACTTAAAGGCCACTAATGAGTTTGTGTGGATGTGGGTGGCTTTAATATTTTTCTGTGTCTTTAATTGAAGCCGGCTTGATAGTGATGATGGCAAAAGTTGTCCGAATGTTAAACAAAACTTATTTGAACTAGAAGACCTCCAAAGTACCTTCCCACTCTCTTATTCTGTTAATTATTTATTATATTCTGAAATCACCTCTGACTTGCAGTTGGGCAGCACCTACATGGAATTAAATAATTAAACAAACAAACGAATAAATAAATAACTCAGTTAAGAGAGTTAAAACTTATGTTTCTGGGATATCTTTCAGCTTAATTTGCAACCCTATCCCATTCATCAATAAATTAACACCAGTAAGTTGACTGGGGGGGTCTGTTCAGTTACACATGCATGCATTTGAAGCTAAGTTGTAACGTGTGCACTGCATCTTTGAGGAATAATAGTTGAAATAGAATACGGTATGAGACCAGAATAGAAACCCAGTAAGTGAAATGGAGGATTAAAAAATGAAGCACATGCTCCAGATCTTCAACCTTAAAGGAAGATGACTAGGAATTTTAAATATGGAACGATCTGGAGATAATTTGAAAAAAAAAAACACAAGGACTTAACAGTTGTAATGCTAATGCCTATCCTAACTCCGTTTCCCAGCCTGTGGACTTGAGTTTTTACTGCTATACACAGAAACACGGTGAAGTCACTTTCATTTTAAAAACTGTAATATGCACACGTGAGTCAAAATTACACCAAGAACCTCAAAAGAAGCTTGGATTATGTGTCGGTCTGAGTCGTGCGAAGGCTGGGATAAGTCATGTTCTTTTGATATTCTCTGTGGAAATGAGTTCTTCATGCACTCTTGAGCAAAACTGCAGGAAGAGGCTTTCAGAATCTAGTAAGGTTGCAGTGCTTCTTGGCCTCTTGGTTAAATCAAGTCTAACAATATAACAGCCAAATCAGAACATTGAACATGACAGTTTTGTGAAAGTTAATGAAGTTTCTTATCCTTGTTCTGAATGTACAAGGAAGATTTTTTTTATATATTAGAAAAAGATTCTTATCTAAGGAATTATCCTCCATTTTGAACACAAGCTTCATTTTCAGATGTTTCCAGGACACTGTATCGGAAAGCAAGTACTTTAGCACGCCGAAAAAGATCTTGATGTGGCTTCATACCTACATGTAGAGCATCAACAGAAAATTGGTCATTCTTTATACCTCACAGTCTCATCCTCTGCTAAGTGAAAATTGCAAATTAAAAAAGGATCGGAGACAGTTTATTTGTCCAAGGAACCAGAAATGGACAGCTAAACGAAATTATAATTAATACTGTATTGTAAAACAAGTTGCAAGGAAACAAATGGAAATAGAATGAGGACATACAGGAGGTCCTTGACTTACAACCATAATTGGGACTAGAACTCCATTTGCTAGGTGATGTGTGTCTTAAGTAAGTCATCATGTGACTGTGACGGATTTTAAAACCTTTTTTGCCATGGTCATTTAAGCAAATCATATGATTACTAAGTGAATCTGGTTTTCCCCATTGACTTTACATGTTCGAAGATGATTGGGAAGGTCGCAAATAGTGATTGTACTACTGGGATGCTCTCATAAATACATGTTAGTGGCCCAGCACCCGAACTGCAATCGCATGACCATGGGGATGCTGCAACAGTCATAAGTGTGAGGACTGGTCATAAATCATTTTTTCCAGCACTTTAGAGTGCTGAATTTAGAAAACGGTCTCTAAATTAATGACTGTAAGTTAAGGACTATTCCTATAACATATTGCTGATATGAAGACATGAATAATATAATTTTGAGGGGGAAAAAATCAGAGTTAAGGTCTGTAGTAGCAGAGCTGTCATGTGGGCCTTTTATAATTCAAAACTGCACAGGCTGGGATAAGTCATGACAGGCAGTTATGGGAACACTCATGTTTGCCCATGTTATATCATTCATCTGCAAGCTGCTCTGATTTTCAGTAGGCTTCCAAACCTAATTCTAGGTCCTGGTTATGATTTACTAGCTCAGTGCCCATGCTTCACTATGAAACTATATGGTCAGGCTTAGATTTTGGGGAAGAAAATAAGGGGGTTAAAAATGTGCCTCTGCCTACCAGCATCCATCGGTATTCATCTGGCTAGCATCCTGTCAGTGTGTAAGAGAGTTGAGGTCTATTTGGAAAGTGAAACAGTATTTGTGTGAGCAAGAAGGAGACAGCAAGGAGCCTGGGTGTGGCTTAGCTCAACTGTTCTGTACTAAATCTGCTTGCTGCTGTGAAACTAAAACTGAAATGGAAACTCCTCTCCTCTGCTTGTGTTTTGCATTTGGAACAGATTTCTTTTCAGGTGGGGAGGGGGAGTAGAACTCCTTAGCATCAGAGTGTGTTAATAATAATATATGAAATACAAATGCTCTGATCGTCATTTCGAAAAATCCTTTCTTAGTGAGCACCTAGAAGCCAAGAGGAACATACGGGGCAAATTTCAAGTTTGTAGGCTTTACGGTTCTGGAGATTTTGTGATGATGTATGAGAGGTATTTCGCAGATAGATAGATAGATAGATAGATAGATAGATAGATAGATAGATAGA